GAAAATACATGCTCACCAGTGACTGTGGGCATTTGTGCACATTTGTGCTGTAAAGCCAAAGGAGGGTTAATGAGGAACTTCACGGAGTCATTGCGATCCCAAATACAAAGCAGATCCACAGGGTAAGGGTAACTGGACCCTACAGCTTGGACATTCAAATCCATGCACACACAACATTCCCCTCCACTCACTACTTCAAAAGCCTGTCAGCAAAGGTTGAAAGTTCTGATGATGACGCTGACCAGCAAAACAGCAATAACAACGACCACTGCAAAGGTAATGGAGCAGGTTTATTTCATGTAAAGCACAAAATAAAATTGCATACAAGTTTTTGTACATCTCCCTAATTATTATCTTCACATGCAACCATGGAAAAAAATGTACTCAAATTTACTGCTGTCATAATTTGAATGCTAAATAAAGTAGATTACACATTGGTACATAAAATCAACTAATGTGAGCAAGTTTGGTGAAAATAAAACAATTATACAGATAGATTGTGAGGGTGTTGTAATTGTTTGTCTATTTGCTTTTACCCTCTGGAGTGCTGAGTACATGTATCATCCAGCTTCATAGCATCTAGGATAACAAAATGTTTGTATTTTTGCCCTGCAAAAAGATGTGGATGAATAAACTGCTATTTATTTGTGTCTTAACAGTTAAGTAATCAGTGTTTCAAAATCACCATCCAAGTAATAGCAATGTCAGTCAGCTAATCAATGTGGGCGAAGACCAGCAAAGCAATGTGGATGAAGACCAGCAAAGCAATGTGGATGAAGACCAGCAAAGCAATGGGGACAGAGACCAGCAAAGCAGTGTGGACACAGACCAGCAGAGTAGTGTGGACACAGACCAGCAGAGTAGTGTGGACACAGACCAGCAGAGCAGTGTGGACACAGACCAGCAGAGCAGTGTGGACACAGACCAGCAGAGCAGTGTGGACACAGACCAGCAGAGCAGTGTGGACACAGACCAGCAAAGCTGTGGGGACACAGACCAGCAGAGCAGTGGGGACACAGACCAGCAGAGCAGTGTGGACACAGACCAGCAAACCAGTGGGGACACAGACCAGCAGAGCAGTGTGGACACAGACCAGCAGAGCAGTGTGGACACAGACCAGCAAACCAGTGTGGACACAGACCAGCAGAGCAGTGTGGACACAGACCAGCAAAGCAGTGTGGACACAGACCAGCAAACCAGTGGGGACACAGACCAGC